GGATACAATTCATGATCAAATGTAGCTCAGGATGCAGCAGTTCTCCAGTCATGAATGCCTCCTCTCAACCACACTGCAGGCATGCTTCTCATTCACTGCCTCTCAGCCATGCAGACCGTTGGTCTGTGCCATGCTCTGGAAAGTGTTATGATGCTCAGTTAGCAATGTGGGTTAATGCCAAAGGGCATCCAGTTCTGCAAGCCAGCTCCCTGCCAGAACGTACTCGGTCTGTGGGCCAGAACGCCCTCTTCTCGATCTCTCTATGTCAGTTTCTCACTTTGGTTGGCAGTGTACGTGTGTTTGAGAAGAGGAATCCTGGGGTTGTGCTGTAGGATAAGAACTGGACTGTGAACCACTCCTCAGAAACCCAATACTGGGTTGCTGTGAGTCAGAACGGATTTGATGGCACTTAATAACAACAGCATATGCATAAACCTCGACCAGATAGAATACACAGGAATCAAATGGATTGCATCTGTGAAAAGAGATGATGGAAAAGCCACATATCAACAGCCAAAATAAGACTAGGTGCAGATTGTGAAACAGACTATTAATTGCTCGTATGCAAGTTCAGGTCAAAGCTGAAGAAAATTAAGAACATATACATGAGAGTCAAAATATGACCTTAAATACATCCACCTGAATTTAGAGACCATCTCAAGAACAGATTTGATGCGTTAGATACTAATGACCAAAGACCAAGAGAGTTGTGAGATGACATTAAGAACACAGTATACCCGATGAAAGCAAAGGTCACTAAAAGACAGGAAAGAAAGAAAAGACCAAAATGGATGTCAGAAGAGACTGAAACTTGCTCTCTAGCATCAAGACGTTAAGCAAAAATAAATTAAAAAGATGCTGAAGCAAATGAAAGTCAAACAGCTGAACAGAAAGTTTCAAAGGACCGCTCAAAGTCAAGTATTATAATGAAATGCACAAAGACCCGGAGTTACAAACCCAAAAGGGAAGGACACGCTCAACATTTCTCAAGCTGAAAGATCTGATGAAAAAAATTCAAGCCTTGGCTTGCAATATTGAAGAACTCCATGGGCAAAATAATGAATGATGCAGAAAGCATCAAAAGGATATGGACAGGGTACAGAGAGTCACTATCGAAAAGAAATGACTGATGGCAGCTGTTTCAAGAGGTAGCATATAATCAATAACCAGTGGTAGCATTTTCAAGAGGTAGCATATAATCAATAAAGGAAGAAGTCCAAAGTGCACTGAAGGCATTGGCAAAAAGCAAGGCTCCAGGACTGGACAGAACACAAATTGAAACTTTTAACAAACTGCTGCAACCCTGGAGGCCCAGCATCTAAGCCAAGAGATGACGTGTTCTGGAATACCCATTCTTGGCAATAGTATCCATAGCTTATTGTGATCCATACAGTTGAAAGCCTTTGCATAATCAATAAAGTACAAGTAAATATCGTTGTGGTATTTGTCTGCATTCAGCAAAGATCCATCTGACATCAGCAGGTCACTTGTGCCACCCAGGTTCATGTATGTATTTGTGTATGTACACACACACACACACACACACACATACACATGGATGAAATTACACAGTGGAATGCTTTTCTGTCAAAATGTTGAAGACAGTGTATCCTTGTTTCCCATTGTTGCTGCAGGAGAATCCAGATTCTTGTTTCTTTCTTTATATAGGACCTATTTTTTTTTTTAATTGCAGAAAGTATTTATCAAGTTACTTCTGTGGGCCAAAAGCTGTTCCAGAAGTTCTGCTATTTGACCCTCACATCATCTCTATTAGGATTCTATCTCTAAGAGCTGGGTTATTTTCTCTTATTATTGAGGGGGAGACTGAGTCTGGGAGAAGTTAAGTAAGTTGGGCATGGAAATGAGGCCTTTTAACAGGGTGTTGAGGGTTTTACTATTCGAGGATGAAGGGAGGTGGCCAGTGAATTAGGGACCACCCCCAAACATGAACATCTCATCTGCTGCACATATATGCTAGTGTCTGCTCTTTGGGGCCTGAAGAAAGTCTACGAAGATGTTGAGTTAATCTTCATTCTTAACCAAGCCTTTGAATTTCCTTGAGTCCTGAGTTGACATTGTTGTTGTTAGGTGCCATCGAGTCGGTACTGACTCATAGCAACCTTACGCAGAACGAAACACTGCCCGATCCTGGGCCAACCTCACTACTGTTGCCACACTTGAGTCCATCCATGCTGCCACTTGGCCAGTCCATCTCATTGGGGATCTTCCTCTTTTTCTCTTATCCTCCACCTTACCAAACATGATATCCTTCTCCAGTGACTGGTCCCTCCTGACAATATGTCCGAAGTATGAGAAACAAAGTTTGGCCATCTTGGCCTCCAAGGAGCACTCTGGCTGCACTTCTTCTAAAACGGGTCTATTGCTTCTTTTGGCAGCCCATGGCACTTTCAATATTCTCCTCCAACACCATAACTCAAATGCATCAATTTTTCTATGGTCTTCCTTATTCACTGTCCAGCTTTCACATGCATATGAGGTTATTGAAAATACCATGGCTTGGGTCAGGCGCACCTTAGTCCTCAAGCTGACATCTTTGCTCTTCAACCCTTTAAAAATCTGTGCAACAGATTTGCCTAATGCAGTACGTCGTTTGATTTCTTGACTGCTGCTCCCATGAGTGTTGATAGTTGATCCAAGAAGAATGAAGTCCTTGACAACTTCAATCTTTTCTCCTTTGCTAAGAATGTTGTTTATTGGTCTAGTGGTGAGAATTTTTATGTTTACATTGAGGTACAAATCATACCGAAGACTGTGCTCTTTGATCTTCATCAGTAAATGTTTTAAGTCCTCTTCACTTTCAGCATGCAAGGTTGTATCTATCATCTGCATATCGCAGGTTGTTAATGAGTCTTCCGCCAATCCTGATGCCACATTTTTCTTCATATGAAACAGCTTCTCAGATGATTTACTCAGCATACAGATTGAATAAGTATGGTGAAAGAATATAACCTTATTGCACACCTTTCTTAATTTTAAACCATTCAGGCTTCCCATGTTCTATTCAAACAACTGCCTCTTGGTCCAGGTACAGATCTGACATTAAAATAATCCCTTAGTGTCAAGTTCCCCTCCAGTCTCAGCAACTTCTGGTATTTAAAGTCCAGTCCCAACATGAATTCTGCTGAGAAAACCAGCTTCGTGTCTCAGGTATTCCTCTCCTTCCCCCAAAGAGGTATTCTAGGATGTAGCTTCTATAGCTGTGCTCAGTGAGTTTCCATTTTCTTATATATTTTAAATTATAAAATATAAACATATAGGAATTAATGGAAAATAATGTGCGGTGATGGTGGTGGTTACGTGCCGTGGAGTCGGCGCTGGCCCATAGCTACCCTGCATAGGATTTCTGAGATGGTCAGTCTTCACGGGAGCAGAAAGCTTCATCTTTCTCCCGCAGAACAGCTGGTAGTTTCAAACCGCTAACCTTGAGGTTAACAGCATGACTCGTAACCACTTTGCTACCAGAGCTCCTTAGGAAAATAATATAGCCATGCATTTATACCACCCAGTTTAATCAAACCTTAATCAGTTATCCAAAGCAAATGTTTCAAAATGATCATTAAGACATTTTAGATCTGGTTGGTGCTTTTTGTGTATGTTAGTCTCATTTCATCCCCTCACTGACATTGCCACATTCTAAATTAGCATGTAGCATTACCATGTAGGCATTTATTTACGATGCAAATAGATAGAGTAGGCTTTCTCCATTTTTGGGGTTTTGTTTTACTACAATGGTGCAATGAAAATTCTTGCACATGACTCCTTATACACAGATATGAGAGTTTCTTTACACAGTTTCCACAAGTACAACAACATACTCATTCTCCCAGTCGATGAGGTCAGTAGAACTTCTAATCCAGTGTCCTTTAGCCATGAGCAGTTTTATCCTTTGACCCTAGGGTTTCAAAATATTGTTTCCAAGTGGAATTACCAAGTTAAGGAGATTCATATCTTCAGATGTGTTAGATATTGCCAACTTCCTCTCTAAAGTAACTTGTGCTAGTTGACCTTTACACTTCTATCATAATGTAGACATTTCCCATTTCACCAAAACAAGGCACTGAGGGAAGAATTTGGGCTTTTGAGTTAAACTATATGAAATTTGAGCCCGACTCTTCCACCTCTGAGCTGGTTGGCAGTGGGCTGATTTCTTACACACATCTAATTTCCTCATATGTAAAATAAGGACAACAATAACCCACAACATATTGTAATGATGTTTTTGAGAAATAACTCATACATTTGAAGATACTCAAGTCGATTCTGACTCATAGCGACACTGTATAGTGTTTCTAAAGCTGTAAATATTTTTGAGAGCAGAAAACCTCATCTGTCTCCTGAGGAGTGCCTGGTGGGCTTGAACCACTGACTTTGTGGTTCACAGACTTGTGCGTATCCTGCAGAGCCACCAGCCTTCCACATGGCCCCACATTATGCCGTTTTTTTAAAGTTCACTATTATTACTGTTTATGGAGATCTGGTAGTGTAGTGGTTACGAATTGGGCTGCTAACTTCAAGGTCAGCAGTTTGAAACTACCAGCTGTTCTACAGAAGAAAGATGAGGCTTTCTGCTGCAGTAAAGATTTACAGCCTCGGAAACCCTGTACAGGGTCGCTATGAGTCGGAACTAACTCCACGGCACATAACAGCAACAACATTGGGGGGGGGGGGTGGTGTTAGTAGAAAATGAGGATAAATAAGGAGGCTTCAGAAAGTTTCTGAAAAAATTCCATTATGTTTTCATCCCATTTTTCCACAAACTTTTTGAAGCTCCCTTGTATATATGAAAAGTTAAAGGAAACTTAAGAATTGCAAATACAAGTATACATGTTTTGTTTTTTCTTGTGAAAAGGAAATATTTTGTCAACTAAATATCTGTTCAAATGTGTTCCTCTCAGAACTCCATGGTTTCGGCCTATGGTCCGCTTTCATGAGCTAGGAACGTCTAGGCAACAGGAGTAATGTGTGGTGTTCTCTTCTAGGTGTTTACCTTGCTGTGGATCGCTGACTGGATGGTCCATCACTTCTGGAGGAAAGGAAAGGACCCGGACAGTTTCTCCATCCCCTACCTAACAGCCTTGGGGGATTTGCTCGGGACAGCTTTGTTAGCCTTGAGTTTTCATTTTCTTTGGCTTATTGGAGATCGTGATGGAGATGTAGGAGACTAATCAATCCTCTAAAGCTCTCAAATTACCCAGGAAGAGAACATTAAACGATGGGTGACTTATTGTTCTTTCTCAAAAATCTTCAATCAGGGTAATTTTCACTTGGCCCTGATTGAATTAAATGGCCTTAACTTTTTAAGAAAGGAATTAGTGTTGAGACCTGATTGAAGAGTATTTGTGCTGCTTTTCATAGAATAAATGCTAAGTTGACATTGGTATAGATACAAGCCCAAGCTCTGAAGTTAATCAAACAAGAAAGAATATACAATGTTTACGATGAATAACTTTGAAACCACATACACAGCAGAAATGTGCTTTAGCGTCGTTTAACTTGTAATGCAAGTTGTCCAAGACAGCACTCTGGCTGAAGCTTTCTTGGCTCACAGATGCACTGCTCTGCGCAGCAGACGGCATATGGAAGAGGCCCGGCCAGTCTTGTCACAGTTTTGATGGTGTCCACTTCTATGCTAAATGTACCAGTTATGTTCTGGTGAGCTAAAGATAAGCTTGCTTTTACCTGCATCGATTAAATTACCCCACGCCAATGGTTATTTAATTATAACTCTGCAAATTCTTGGTTGGTGACTCTTCCAAACAAACAGCTTTGAGAGCACTGCGTCATTTTTGATCATTGATTTGTGAAAATGTTTTGGACTTTTCTTTAAAAAAAAAGTAGTAATACTCAAAAGAAGAAGATACCCTTGAACTGAGTTTAAAAGCTTGAAGGGACAATTTGTGTGTGTGTGTGTGTGAGAGAGAGAGAGAGGTGGGGTGAGGTGGGGGAGGGTAACTTTTGATGGAAAACTAAGTCTTGGATAGTTAATTGCCAAGATCCTGGTACTATTGGAATATCAGCATTATAGAGTTATTCTTAAACACCTTTCATCGATATGCTTTTGCTATGTAGTCTAAGAATTTTGCTACTAGTCAGAATTTAGTATTTGTTACCCGTATCATAATGAATAGTTTCTTCTTGTTGAAAAGCAAACAAGCAACTGTGCCATTTACTGTAACTAAGATATAAATGACATTTAGGATGAACAAGTGGATTCATTTGCTGTTTTAAAGAAGTCTTAACATTCCCTTTTGAAAGAGAAGTTGGTGGGTTTTCCTTTATTATTATTCAACCCTAGACAAATCATCTGTGTCCATAGGCACTTACTTGTACAGAGGACCCTATAGTAGACACTGCTAAGTTTCTCAATTATTTTTTCAAAAACTCAAGACTCTTGATCAGCACCTTAATTGTTCGATAAGTAAACATTTGTTATGCAACAGCTAATTCATAAAAGAAAAAAAATGCAATGCAGTTGCTCTAAGACTATCAGCTATTTAATCATTTAACTGGTACGGAAGGAAAGCAATTCACATTCATGTGATTATCATGAATTCAGTTGTGAGTTAGTATTAGCCTGATATAAATGGTAGGTGGTTCATAAATATATTGGGGGGAGCATTCCTATTGAGCTCTTTAAAATAAGGGGCCAGTGGTTTTACCTTATATCTTTTTGCTTTTTGAAAACTTTAATTATTCCATTCTTCTGCCTTTTAATGAAGCTTGTAAGGCAGAGAACAGAACTAGTTATAGAATGACTCCTTTGGAGAGTTATAATGTTATGTAGTGAACATCCTTATAAAGAAAAAAGGATTTAGTTTAAGTTGATGAATATTTAATTGCAAAGATTTTTATTTTTTAAAAAAAACATGAATAATCTCTTTGATTTTATTGTAAAGCATTTGTAAATTACTTATTTACAGTTGTGCTGTATGATTCATGAGCACTTGAATTTCCCAGTGATTTCTATTTTTATTATTTTTAATGCACAAAAAAAAGTGTGCACAGCAAGTGTTTTTTTTTGTTTCCCTAGCACTTTTAAGTCTGGAGTTACTTCTAACTCAGTGATTCTGTAGAAAGGAGCAGAATGGTTCCATTGGATTTCCAAGGATGTAAATCTTGACAGAAACTGACTGTCAAGATCCTGGGGAGTGACTGGTAGGTTCCAACTGCCAACCTTTTATCAATCAAGCTTAGCCAGTGCACCATGGAGCTACTATTACTCACAGCAGGATCTGTGAGCTAGGTCGAATATTGTTAAGTGGCTCTGGTGAGACAATGGGTAAGTGCTCAACTACTAACTGGAAGGTTAGTGGTTCAAAGTCACCCACCGCTCCATGGACGGAAGATGTGGCAGTCTGCTCCTAGAAAGCTGACAGCCTAGGAAACTATGGGCCAGCTTTGCTCTGTCCTGAAGGGCCAGTATGAGCGGAATAGACTGGAAGGCTCACAACATCAGCTATTGTCGCCTCTCTCTTACAGAAGAGGAATCTGAAACTCATCTTCAGTTCATAAGGTTGCCATGCTACACCATGGCCTACGTATGCATAAGGTACCTAAAGTCCATAAGGAGCCCTGGTGGCATAGTGGGTTAGTTAGCTATGCTTTGGGCTGTTAACTGTAAGGTTAGCAGTTCCAGTCCACCAGGCACTCTGTGGGAGAAAGCTGAGGTTTTCTGCTCCTGTAAAGATTTATAGACTCAGACTCAGGGTCGCTGTGAGTTGAGCTGAGTTGATAGCATACCACCACAATACCACCACCTAAAGTCCATGTCTCCTATCACCTGGGCCAGTGTCCTTTCTATGAAATATCAAGAATACCTAATGGAGAGGAAATCAGCTAGAGAGACAGGATTTTCTAGAGCAGAATAGAGTACTGGTCACCTTTTAGATTTCACACAGAGAAGCCACCATTTACTGTCTGTTAAGCACTCGACCACAAGGTCACAATTTGACCTGCAAGGTCAGCACTTCAAATCCACTAGCTGTTCCTTGGAAACCCTATACAGAGTTGCTATAAGTTGGAACCAACTCAATGGCACTTAGCAAGCAACAACAAAATTGTGAGTGCAGCCCATGTCTAGATAATCTTATACATTAGTCATGCTCATAAGACCAAGGAAAACAGATCAATGAAAACTTTGGAAGAATGAATAATGCTGTAGTTCATTGTTGTTGTTCTTAGGTTCCATCAAGTCGGTACTGACTCATAGTGACCCTATGCACAACAGAATGAAACACCACCAGGTCCTGAACCAACCTCAAAACCGTTGAACCCATCACTTCCACCACTCTACCAGTCCATCTCGTTGGGGGGCTTTCTCTTTTTCTCCAACCTTCCACTTTACCAAACATGATATCCTTCTCGAGTGACTGGTTCCTCCTGACAACATGGCCAAAGTATGAAAGACAAAGTCAGGGCCATCCTGGCTTCTAAGGAGCACTCTATTTCCAACACAGCCCTGTTTGTTCTTTTGGCAATCCGTGGTACTTTCAATATTCTCCTCCAACACCATAACTCAAATGCATCAATTCTTCTACCATTTTCAGTATTCACTGTTCAACTTTCGCATGCATATAAGGTTATTGAAAATACCATGGCTTGAGTCAGCTGCACCTTAGTCCTCAAACTGTTATCTTTGCTCTTCAACACTTTAAAGAGGTCTTGTGCAGCAGATTTGCCCAATGCAGTATGTTGTTTGATTTCTTGACTGCTGCTTCCTTGAGTGTTGATGCTTGTTAATTCATAGAGGGTTGTATTGCTAAAACCCTTCCCTGATCTAGCTATTTGTACTACATGCTAATTAAATAACTAAGATGACTCATTTGAGTTCTGTCTCCTTTCTCTTTTGCTGCCAAATCATGATGGTTGTTGCTATGTGCTATTGAGTTGGTCCCGACTCATACTGATGCTGTATAGGGTTTCTGAGAGCAGCTAGTGAGTTTGATCTGCCAACCTTGTGGTTACCAGTCCAGTTCTTATTTTTTTAAATTTATTTTAAATTAGAGCAACAAAATACCTAATGGCAGGGAGTGGTGATGAGGGAAGGACATGAAAAAAAGTCAATCACAAATTAGCTGAATTCATTATGAAAAGGATTTAGATTCCTTTAACAAATCATGACTGGCCTTTTGAAAACATTTATATAGTTCAACAAGCATTAAGATGACTTTGTTACCCATAAAGATCATGTATTAACAGTCTTATGTAATATAAATTCACAGTATTTATTTTATGCAACATAGAAAAAATCCCGCTTTCCAAGTTTCCAAGATTCTGTATTTTCAGATTATCTTTTTTAAAAAATATTTTTCATATCCACCTATCATTTTTTTCTTTCAAATAAAAAGTTTCTCAGAACCTGAATAATAGAAACCTAGGTCGTGTATCTTCTGGGGCACATGAAAACATCGTAGACTATCACTGAATGCCAAATGAAGTACATTTTGTCAAGTCTTTTAGTAATTGGGCTTCCTTGCCTTATATCTGTGGTACAGTACACCCATTGATAATGGGCTTCTGCCAGCTTTGAATTCTTGCAAACTCAAATAAGAATAAAATTGAAGAAATATTCACCCAGCCTCAGTGTGATGATTTTTCAGTGAACTGAAGGGACATTGAGTCTGTGTGGACCTCACCCAGAAGAGATGGTACTGCTCGGGGCGGATTGTGTATATAATGTGCTAGGGAAAAAGACCCCAGATTCAACACAAATCTATAGAGATGGCTTTCTTAGGCCTTAACCAGGACACAGCCGTCCCAGTTGAGGGACACCATCAGCTTGCACACAGTACAGAGGCCAAGTGCAGTCCACTGGCTCATTGCCATGGGGCCAGTTACATCTGATAGAAAACAGAGGGACTCATCACAAAACTGTCGAGGTCCTATGTCGGGGTCCCGCCTCGACAAGGAAGTGTGGGTGTCACGAAGAAGGGCGATCTGGCGGCGAAAGTGATAGAGAAAGAGACGAAATAGATACAAAAAAACAGACACACAGATATGATGCAAGCTGGCAGGTAGACAGATCTGCAAACATTTTGCCTAGCATTGCACAGCATTGCCTGCAGAACTCACTCTACCTCAGCCTTTTATTCTCTTTTTTAGGGAG